AGAAAGCAAGCCACCAGGTCTGGGACTCGAACTGCCGCCAGCCATGTGAGAGTCCAGTACCTTAACCACCACACCACTAGCTGTCCCCCAAAAGTAGGTAATTAACTTTTGTACAATACCATTAAATGAATGACAGATTTTATTGAGATGTCAGCAGTTTTTCCTTGAGGGTCTTTTTTCTGTTCTAGGACCCAACCCAGGATTCCACATAGCACTTAGTTGCCATAGTCCTTATTCCTTCTAAATTTATAATAATTTTCAGCCCTTCCTCGTCTTACATGACCTGGGTACTTATAAAAAGTATTGTTTTAGAACAATACTATGATGTTTTCTCATGATTAGTTTGAGATCACGCATTTTGGCAAGAAAACATGAGAGCAACAACAATGTATCTTATTATTGGCGATCTTAACCTCGATACTTGGTTAAGATGGATGGCATCTGCCAGTTTCTCCATCGTACAGTCATTACTCTTCCATTTGTAAACAATTAATAATTGGGGAGATAGGATGAGACTGCAAATATCCTGCTTCTTCTCAACGTTAAATTTTTTATTGTGGTAAAATACACATAACATAAAACATTTTAGTATATGATTTGATGGCATTAAGTACATTCTCACTACTGTGCAACCATCACCATCCATCTCTAGAACTAATACTTATCTTTGCCCACTGAAACTCTAGATCCTGTAAACACTCGCTCTTTGTCTGGGTTAGAAATCTCATTTAAGAAGATTCACACAATTCTCTCAAAGTTCCACCCACTAATTTTAGCATCCAACGAAGGATCTTGCCCATAATAATGATTACCAGGCTATAATGGTGAATTTCCAGTTGGTGACAGCAGAGCATTAAGCCAACTGCAGGGTCCTTCTGGACCTATACTACACATCCATTAAGTTAGGCTTTTTGTGCAACCCTCTCAAGCTTCTTAGGACCACTTGCCTACTAGCTTTGGCTCTGTAGTATCCCATTAACCAGCAGCTGTGCCTGAGGACCAGCTATCTCAGAGATCTCAGAGATCCCTTTCTTCCCCAATCAGGACAAAAAGATTACTCTCTTTCTACTTAAGTCTTTATTTTCCTTGCTCCATTTTACTGTACTGGGACAGTCTGAGGAATCCCGGATTAGAAGTCCCACCAGCCCTTAGTCTCTTACCACAATGGAGGTCAGATCCTCACTCTCAAAGCGGCTAATGGCCTGGTCCAGGGATTTGTACATGGCGGCAGAAATGCGCTGGGTGATGAGTCTGTTCAAGTCGATCGATCTACCCAACAGCTGGATGGGAGGGAGAAACGTTACTTAAGACTCACACAAGACCCCTGACAACTGAATGAAAGGCATTAATAGGAAGTCCAATTAAATTATAAAGAACATTACTGGGAAAATGAGGACTACATGAAAAAAACAGTATTGTTAAGTTTCCTGAGGATAATTCTATTCTGACTTTTTAGAAGAAAGTCCTTGTTCTTAGAAAATAGGGACTGAAGCACTCAGGGGTGAAATTCCATGATAACTACAACTTGTTTTCAAATGGTTAAGAAAAAAGAATGTGTATTAACACACACACACACACACACATATGCACAGGGTATGTGTGCAGAAAAGAAAATACATAAATGAGAAAGAGGACGTGAATTACAGATGATAAAACATTAATAATCATGAACCTGGCTAAAGGGTGGAAGAACATCCACTGTATTATTTTCCTTTTTTTTTTTTTTTTTTTTTTAGGGGGTTTTTTCTTTAGGGGGGGTTG